GAACACTGTATCTTCACTGCAACGTTATGGTTAACATAGAATGTGCAGGCTCTAATTTTAGTAACAAATACAATACAGAGGCAGTTTATGGAAATTTAAATTATGCAAACTTGAAGTCACAGATATAGAAAAAAATGTATCAAGTTTTGCTGCATAAAACTCTCTAAAAAGCTGTCAAGAACTGCAAATTTCAAAGCTGGCTGACTCAGTGATTTGTAAACCATGTTCATGGACTGGCACACGAGGTGCCACATTATATAGTATTGTTTGCACTATGAGCCTTTAGCTCCGAAGTTATATATAATAAGGCACTCCTAACCCCTAACCACTGTCATTAGTAATTTGCCACTTGCTAATTTGGGAGAGAGCACACTTTACACAGCACTGGAGAGGATGCTATAAAAATAAAATGTAGACTAACCACCCCACCCCCAAAAAACTCCCCACAGCAACAGCATCTCCCATCCTAGCATTATTCCTCTGTGATAACCAGTCTTAAACGATACATATTCTATGTGATGTGCTTAGGAGATCACCACTCACACAAAATGCAGCTTCCTTTTAAAAATTCTTCATGTCTTGAAGTGATTCTAATCCCCAACTCCTAAGCCTGAAAGACAATGTGTAAAACTGGAAGGATGCCTGAGGGTTTGCAATTTAACATCACCTTTAGTGGTTGACCAAGGGGATGTAATTCTCTGCTAAGCATCCCTGAAGTCAGATCTGTTTCTGCGTGTTTTTCATTCTTTTTAGTACATGATGAGAGGAGTCACTGTGCAGAATAGCGCTTTGGTTTTTACTCCAGGCGCTAACAATGCTTGAGTTTGGTGCTAAGTCACCTTCATGGGTGTCTACAGGGCTTACTTTCATTTATGCTTATTCATTCAATTAAAAAAGAGGGCCAAGCACTTGTATTGGCCCCTTCCTGAATGATTAGAGAGTTAATGAGCTAATAAGCTCAAAATACTTTCTACCTCAAGAGGAAATTAGCTTACAGTCATGGGCGGGGCAGGTCCTGTAGTCTACTTGGGGCGGCATCAGCAGGCGAACAGAGCTGCCCCCCACCCCCAGCCTGAAGCTGCTGCTGCTGACTTCACCCCGTCTGTGGCCCCGGGCCAGTCAACCATGGGCTGCGCACACGCTCAGTACCAGAGAAGCAGGGGCACTGAAATTTCTAAATTTTTATTTTTAGTATTTATCAAAAGCATCCAAGTGCTGATTGTGCAGGACATCAGCGCTTTGATGGAGGCTCACATTTAGTGTTGTCCTTATTTGGAATTACACGGATTGGGGCAGGGTCATATTAGGGCCCCATGGCTACCACCCACTTTTAACACAATTTCACCAAGAAATGTCAACCATTTATTTCAAAAAAATATCTGTCTTTCCAAGCAAGCAGTCTTCATGAAGGGCTAAATTCTCTCACCAATACAGATTTGTCAGAACACTTTGCACGGTGCTATGAATCAAAGAAAATTAAATCTTGTTCTGCTAGGGAGTAGCCCAGGCTGTCAGTCAAGAACTGGCCTGAAAGGTCTAAATCAAAGTTTTACAACCGTTCTCTCAATGACTTGCAGAAGCTTGGGGTCCTAGAATTTGAGAAGAAACATTCTTTTTCATTTTTTTTCCCCAAGAGAGGGGTTTGCTGTGTTCTCGGTGAGCCCTGTGACCACTGCCATTTGTCATTTCCAAATATACGTGACTTCTCTATGCTTGCACCTTCTGAGATGTGTGTGCATAGAAACAAAAGCTATATATTCCCACCACATGTTTTCACTCTTGGATCCCCTCCAGACACCATTCTGAATGACACTCTGCTGCAGGGTACTAAAAATGGTGCTTTCCTCAAAACAAAACCTTTAAAGATCCCTTCCTTTGTAGCTATTTGGGGACTGAAATTCAATTTCAATTCCCCACCCTTTCACCAGCTGTAGATTCAAAATGCTCACATAAAACAGAAAGAGTATGTACTTCATGGCAAATGCGAAGTTTCCTCTGCAATAAAAATGTGTGCTACAGTTACCACAAACTATATTTTTACTTAGAAAATACACAAACCAGCCCTGCCCGGTGTGGCTCTGTTGGTTGGGAGTTGTCCCGCGCATTGAGGGGTCGTCAGTTCGATTCCTGGTAAGGGCATATACCCAGGTTGTGGGTTCGATCCCCAGTGGATGCACATGCAAGAAGCAATCGATCAATGTTTCTCTCTCACATCCATGTTTTTCTCTCTCTCTCCCTTCCCCTTTCTTGAAAATCAATAAAAACATTAAAAAAGAAAAGAAAAAGAAAATAGGCAAAGCAATAACGCACCTTAACAAAAGAGATTCTTTTTAAATTTTATTTTATAGGTAGCTTTGATATAAGCTTCAGATAGACCCACTTACTACACAGAGTTTGTGAAATCTATACCTTCAAATCATAACACTCTCTGTTTTAGGCCATTATCTCTAAAAGCATGACTTTACAAATCCTTTTCTTCAAATCCTTTTATTACAAGTAGTTCTTGCACATAAATGTTACATCACAATAGCCAAAAAAAAATGTAAACTTCTTTTGCAAACTACATAAATACTATATATCTGCCTTGAAGTTACTGTTACATTAAAATCAGAATATACTCTAAATGCTTTACACAGAAAACTTTGGTCAGTAGCTTATGTGTATGAAACATTTTTTTTTCTTCTTATTTACTTGCCTTTCATGTTGCCTACTTAGGTCTTTGAAGGAGAAACATTTTAAATAGGACCCACATCAAAATTCAGTCCACAAGTAAGACAAGGACCGGAAGCATGTTGATAACGGTGGGCAAAATATGAGACACAAAAATTATTCCACATACTAACTCTGACAAGCCACCAATGGCATGGAGGTAACTGAAAATGAGGACTTGAGTCAGGCTCCTACTTCATCCTAGATAGAAGGACTTCAGCCCGCTTGTCAATATACCTTTTTTTCTGCTGTAAGTCTGTTTTCAAATAGCTCACCTCTTTCTTTTTTCTTTTAGAACATAACAGGTCATTTCTACAGCTATAATCCTAGACAGGGAAGTCTAGGTGGCCAGTGAATTTATTTCATCATCACTGCTCTTGATGTCTTTAAATACAAAATTGAAATGTATGAATATACAAGTGTACTTACACACCCATGCACGATTAGAGGACCACAACAGGCCTTTTTTTTTTTCAAGAGAAGTTTTCAATGTTGACCTTTTTTGTTATTAACTTTACAGTAAAACCCTCTTCTCAGAATGTTCTGTAAGTTAAAAATCAAGTTTTACCTGGAGCTCTTACCGAATTGTTATTCGGAGATTCCTATTGAATGCCTAGCTACTGGCCATGGTTTCTTTGGGCAAAATAGAGGTCAATGCTGAAGCATTTTTTAAAAACTGTAAATGCATGCAGAAAGAACTACACAGGCTTTCCAAGCAGCTACGTAAAGTGGCTCAAGTAACAGTATTATTTATTTTGGCCTAAGCCCTTTACCAACATCTTTTAAAACACAACGGGAATGGCTACAAGGCGGCGGCAGAGCCCAGAGTGCGCGTCCAGGCCCGCGGGCTCCGAGCGGTTCACAGGGCTGCAGCAGGACTCCACTGTGAGATCCTCCCTCTTCCTGTGCATCTCCTCTAAATGCACCGTGTCCTCCCTTTACCGCCCATGCTTTTAAACTATGTAAAACAATTCTTTTTTTAATCTAGCAGTGGTTAATTCAGACCTCAAATAACACTGTACATGGGCTTTGTTGGAGACGGGCCACCATTCTCAACAGCGCCCCCCCGTGGAGGCCGGGGGCAGGGGGCGTCGGGGGCTAGGAGCTGCTCTTGTTGCAGACGGTGCTTTGGCTGATGCCGTCCTCCGTGTACTGGCTGCCCGTGTCGCTCCTGCTGAGGACCGTGGAGGTGACGCGGGAGGGCCGCCTCTCCGGGTTCTTCTCCTGAGAGAGGCAGCAGATCATCTTCTTCATGGTGCTGTACATCTCCTCGTCTTTGTAGGAGTAGATGACGGGGTTCATGAGGGAATTGAGCAACGCCAGCAGCAGGAACCACCTTTTCACGTGCTGCAGGCCGCATTCCTTGCAATTCAGGCCGTCGAGCAGCAGAACCACCAGGCCCGGGGTCCAGCAAACCACGAAGGCCCCTGGAGGGAGAGAGAAACAAGCAACAGGTGCTCAGACCTCAGGCTGCTCCTTTAGGTTTCTTCTGGACCGGCCTCCTGTCAGTGGCACCCAGGGACCTTAAGAATTTGTGTTGACAAGTGCAAAGCAAACTTCCACCTTTCACCTGAGCGTGTGAAACCTGGCTTGTTAGAGGCAAACAGCTGAGCTCCCTCCGACTATTCCACATTCTACTGCATCTTCTTATCTGCTTACTCAGGCCTGGTAATTAGGGGCTGACATTTGCCTCCTGCTTACTAAGCACTACACATGCCTTATCTCTGTTAGTTCTTAGAAACTCGCTAGGAGGCCTCTGCTGTCATTACCCACATTTTGCAAATGAGAAAACTGAGGCCCAAATCCAGGGGCATATACGGGGAGGCCTCCCACTTAACCAAACACTGCTGTTCTCTAAAGCAGATTTTCGAAATGCTTTCCTGAAAGTAAGACACACTGCAACTATGGCATTCTCCTACTCTTAACTAAGTCGCCTGCTCAAAAATTTTATTCTTTATAATTCCATGTTGGTGCTTAGCAAGCACTAACATATTCATAGGCCATCTGGTTAATAATCTGCTCTAGACTGAGATTTGGGTGTTTTTTTGGGTCAGAAATAAATCTCTTTCACGATAAGACAGAGATGTGCTTTTTAGCACATTTATTTATTTAAGCACAATTTTAGCACCAATTGCACATGAAAGGTAGTCTCGCTGAGTCTCTAGTTATATTCAGCTTACCTTGAAACTTTCTGATGTGTTTTTCCTAAAATATGAGACATAGTTTCAATATTCACCTACTCAGTCATCATCACCTCAGGTCACAGTGCTTACATAGTACTTACTAGGAGCCAGGCACTGCAGTAAGTGCTCTCCTCTAGTAACTCACAGAACCACACTATGAGGTGGCATCATTAGCATCCCCAGGAAAGTGAGGCACAAGAGAAGCGAACTGACTTGCTCATCATGAAATAGCTTGCAAGGGGCACCTGATTTTGAACCTAGGCAGTCTTGGACCACAGGCTGCGCTCCCGGCCACTGTGTGACCACCCTTCATCCTGTGATGTGGCTTCTCCCCAAGCCCTCATCATTTCTAAATGCCCTTGTTTACCGACTCCATAAACATGCACCGTGAGCGCACAAGGTGCGAGGAGCTGTACTAGACAGTGAAGGGGGTGAAGACCACGCGCTCCAGGAGCCGAAGGGCTCACGGGGAGAGAAGACAAGCCAGCAGATCTGCAAACCACATCACCAGCTAGTTACTCTTATTGGTTAAAACCAGTCCTGGACAGCAGTCCTCTCGTTGCTTCACCTTCTTTCTGAGAGGGATAGTAATATGCAAGTCAAGTCAAGAATTATACAGAATCAGGGTGAGGCCATGAAACTCACCGGGTCGGACAGCTCTGCCCAGCTCCTCACGTTATGAGCTAATGAAGGAGGCAGATCAGCTATCTGAGCCTTCATTCCCTCACTTATAAAATAAGGATGGGTAGTCTCAGCTGTGCAGGGTGGCCGTGGGGGCCAGAGGTGACGGGAAGCGGGGCCCAACTCCGAGCTGGGTTCACTAAGCAGCGGCCATCCTGCAATGCCGAGAGTAGGTGTCTGGGAGGTGTCAGAAGACTTGATTTCCCATTTCTCAGATACAGCTCACCAGTGGCCCCTCTTTCCTCCATCCTGTATTATTTTTGGCCTGACTGACATATGTGAAAGTAGAAATGGATGCAGAGATAAGAGTTCTGAGATTTGGGTCCCAACCCTTCACTTTCTGTGGGAGACCCATGCCACTGGTCTGGGCTTCAGCTCCCTAAGCTGTAAATTAAGGACTTCAGGCTAGTTCTGGGTTTTTTATATTGTGGGTCAGGACCCCTTGGTGGGTATACAATCAATTTAATGGGTTTGGTTTTTTTTCTTTAATGAAAGAAAGGAATGGAATGAAAAGGCTCATATCGTATTACGTAGACTAAAGAAAGTACTGTTTCATTAAACTTTTGTTTCCGTTTTACAAACTATATTTGTGTGTGTATTGGGTGTGAAGTAAAACATCATTTCTTACTGTTGAGCTAAGTCAAAAGCTTTTAAAATACTAGTTTAGATCATCTGTAAGGCTCCATCCAGCTCCAATGGTCTGTATTTCCCGTAACAGTAGCACTCTTATTCCGTCTGCTGTCCCCAAGAGAGGGTGACTACGTCGTCAAGGGGGAAGAACCAAGAGAACCAGACATCAGCAGCTGCAGCTACCAACTTTGATGTCAAGAGTCCCTTCCATATGAAACTGCGTATTTCCAAAGAAATTCCTTTAGGAGTGTTTAAGGTCCTTGTGTTAATGAGGAGGAAAAAAATATTAATTAACTTTACTCTTTGTTAAATACAAAGGTCAAATTCAATAGAGAATATATAACTTTCAAACCAATGGGAGGGGAAGAATGGAACTAAAGGAAAGGGGAAAAAAGACCTCAAATAAAAAATAAAAATTTAAAAAAGGAGGATGGGGAGCACATCATGGAAGTGTGGGAGAAATAAAAGACAAAATAAGATGCTGGAAATGAGTCCAAATATCCCGAAAACCAAACTTAGTGTTAATTATTAGCTTTAAAAAGCAGGTGAATCTGAGCAATCTGATATCTCACAACATACATAGTAAAACCATGAGGAAAAGCAAGGTTTACGATATGGTTATTTCTGAAGGAGAGAGAGGGCCACTGGGATGGGGCACATAGGGGGTGCTGGAGATAATCGTAGTTTCTATTAAACTGAGTGGCAAGTACACATTTTTAAAACGTTTTATTCTTTAAACTATACCTATATCTTCTGTAATTTCATTTGATATATTTCACACACCCACATATACCCATCAAAAAAAGATTAGATTGACAATATATTTTCCTAAAAACTATGTTTTAAAATGGGATTTTTTTTTTTAATCATAAAAGGTTTTCCCCCCTCCAGCATGATACTCTAGTTTGGGTTAGTCAGAGAACTGAAAAACTCTAAACTTTCAGATCTATGCTGTTGGTCATATATAGTAATTCATACATCTTTTCCCTTTGAATTGAATTACATAATTCATTCAATCAACATCTGACAAACTTTTCATTGAGCAATGATTACATGCCAGGCAGATTACAATGCCTAGGCACTGTTCTAAGCATTTATATAAATTAACCACTTAATCTCCATAGCAACCCTTGGAAATAGGTACTGATACTTCCCTCATTTTAAACCTGAGGACAATGAAGCACAGAGAAGTTATGTAATATGCTCCAAGCCACACAGTTGCTAAGTGGAAGAGTCAGGGTTTGAACCCAGGCAACCGGAGCCTGTGCTCCGGTCCACATGGCTGCTCAGCAGTGGGCCAGAAAGGATCTTATTACTAAAGTGAGTGACAGGAGAGAGGGGGGAGGGGAAGGTACTTATGGCCTTTAAAGTCCCGTTCATGGTATGTTGTATCTGACTGTGAAGCTGCATATATCACTATTAAGTCACTCTCTGGTGTGCTAACAGAAAGATTTTCTGGTCTGGAAAGAGAAGGAAGGGAGGGGAG